TGACATTATTTGTAGAACGTGCTATACTAGGAAGTGGTAGCCCATCTACAGTTTTGGTTGCCGGCGTTGTGTCAATGATTGCCCTCCTGACTGATACAGACTGATAGCCAGGAGAGATTTCACCAACAGTAGAGTGATCGAGCTGCAGCATAAGAGGTGCTCTTCTATAGTCTGTTGGAAACAGAGACGACGAACTTCCAGGTCCCGTGTAAGAATTATTCCGATCTCTTTCTAAACTTAACTTATTATTCGATGGATCAAATTTTGGTGTAGAAGGCTGGTCATCTGTGAATTTACTGGTTACATACTTCCAACCTGGATACATTTTCAACATATATGCTTCATAATGTCTCTGAAACAGATAACCAAATCACTACTTACATATTAGTTTAGAAATGACAGTATTAATAATTTTATTCTACCAGTAATTTCAAAAGTTTTGAATAGTAGTCATTGTGCCTTAAGTCCCTAGGAATTAGTTTTTATCATCCTGGCCTCTGGAGGTATGGGAGGACCAATGAAAATTTCCACCCTCAATGTCAGTATAACATTTCAAAGAAAATGTGAACATTGCTCTCGCTCACCACACTGAAAGAGTACCAACTATTAATATTTGGCCACTGAAGAATCATGTCCAAGGAATACACTTCCAAAATACTTAAACTTTAAACCCGAGGTGCACCTCAACAACACAATCATGCAGAAAGGGGAGGAGGACTGGGTAGAATTTATGAGTTGCCTGCACAACAACACAATCATGCAGAAAGGGGAGAAGGACTGGGTATAATTTATGAGTTGCCTGCGCGTTTTCATTTAATCACATTTTTTATTGACAGACGTCTGTACACTTGTACTGTTGAAGTTATAACATATTATATTAAAGAACTTTTATGTTTTGTTTAAAGGGGTCAATTAATCATTATTACCACAAAAATTAACATCAAGAGCCAAAAACTCGGTCCTTAAATTATTTTATGGCACTATTAACTGCGGACAGGTCTGTTAATGCCAATTTAGGTTGGAAAATGAACATGAACTGTGTGCATGTAAGTGTTTGGAAGAAGCCAGTTGAAGTCTATCTTGACATTTTGTCCCGGCATTGTTCCAAAGAGAATGAGGAAATCCTCAGTGAGAACAACCAGTAACCCAGACAAGATCTGAACCAGCTACCTCATGGATACAAATCTAGAGCATCAGTGCTACACCAACCTGTTAAACGCAAACTTTTAGAGGTTTCTCACATGTTTCGTCAACCCCTGATTTGCTGACCAAGTACTCTTTTTATTTTCAGTACTCCGCCAATAATAAGATAAATTAGAAGCTTTAGTTTGCAGACATAAAAATTTTATATACACACATAACTTACTCTAAGAAGCCTTAACCTTTCACTTTTGGCTGTCAGTACAGCTGCTCGGCTCTCTATCCTATCAAGGGCCTGTAATATTCTATCATTTCGTTCACGTCTTTGTTTTTCCTCCTGAAGGAATGCTTCATATCTTTCTCTCAAATCATTCAACTTTGCTTCTTCGCTGCAACAGAGATCACAGTCATGAAAGCCAACATAATGGCACCCCAGCTGAGAAATGAATGCAGACCTCTTACTGTTTTTGTAAAAATATTACCACATATGATAACATGGATATAAAAAATGAAAACTTACATAACCTTTATATCATCTCAAAAAAAACAAGGATTGCTGAAGGCAGTGGTGTTTGAAGTCAGAATAACCAGCTCTAGAGACTAATAAATACAATGATTCACATTAACTTTCAAATTCTAACCATAAAACTTACTTAAATTACCAATATTTATTTATCATATCGCTATCTTAATCTTACTTACAAATCACAGTTCTCTATTAATTTCATCTGACATATGGAGAGTTTTTATTGTGGGTACATTTACGCATTTATTTGTTTGATTATAGCTCCAGAATGGATATACAGATTTGCACCAAACTTGGCATGCTTATTCCTTGAGACCAGGAAGAGAACACAGCAGAGTCAAAAAATTCCATGAAGAGTGTCCTGAGTTTGATTCTTGTTGGAGGTAGTTCCTGTAGCTCAAAAAGTAAGCACAATAGAAGAACAGCACCAAGATAAAAGTTGCTTGTTTGAGATTACAGAACCTAAGGTCACAGACGCAAAAATTATCCTGGCTTCAAGACTCGGTGAAGTTGTTAGGTTTAAAGATAATAACTATTCTGTTATATTCAATGAAATATAATTTTGAGCAGTAAAGATTATACGCACTTGTGGAATTTCCCTGCAGTAACTCTGATAGTCAACAATATACATAACTCACCACGTGTGTGTATGTGTGGTGCATTGCTCACCAACCATATACAACCTAATTCTGGTCTCTGGACATATTAGCCAAGTTGCCATTTATGGAAGTACAAAACTTGGCTGTATACCAGTAAATTAACTTTGACATCATTATAAAAACTGTCAACTTTTACATTCAGTAAAATCATTTGACAATTGCAAACAATGATGTATAATATATATCATGAAAAAATACTGGGTAATTACTGTTTTACCACTACACAAAGATGAATACAGGAATATTTATAATCCATGATAGTATACACTTTACTACAGCAACTTGTCACTACTACTTACTCGTCATGACAAGACCGCATTAAAACTGCAAATTTCTCCTCCAGCTGTAATCGTTCTTCTTCACTGGAAAATATTCGGTGTAGCAGAGTATTAAATATGCAATCCAGTTTCACATGCTTGCTTTAAATACGAAAGATAATTGAAATAAAAAAGCAACTCAGCCAACATAACCTCTTTTACGAAATATACGCCTACCTTCTTCTCAGTTTTTCCTGCAAGTCTGACATTTTACGGTAGAATCCAATAGTTTCATCTATTTTTGACATTTTTTCTATTAACTTACTATTTACAACTGAAACTATTAAAGAAGTTTCTTTTACACTGTGCACCCTTCGAATTACCACCAAAATATGCGACACATTTCTGTCCAAAACAACAGCCAATAAATGTTTGCGCCTGAATGTCTACCAATCATAGCGCAGCAAACGAACTTCTCTGCTGCGTTCGTAGAATTGAACTGATCCTTTGCTCACAATTAAGCCGAGAAAACGAATGTAACATTTACTAATCATCATTCACGTGACTGGAAGTTGCAGTCTTAGCATTCGCAGTGCTAAGAGTTGAATTACTAAAATGAATTGTATGGGTGCCAAACGCTTGCGTGAAGTGGTAGTAACTGTCTACTACTCCTACTCCTGCGCTCCGGAGAAATGAATGGCAAATAAACGAAAACTAAAAACCTTCTGCACATATTAATAAAATAACATTTCAATTCTAACACTGTGTCATATCTTCACAAAATGAATTGTTGTTTTTGAAAGGAAGACATTAATTTAACTGTCTGCCCGAGTCTTTGAAATGTAGATCGATATAATATTCAGTGCTTCTAAAAAGAAAACACATGGAGTATAAGACGGGTTTGGCACGCAAACACGCAGGGGCTGGTAGCTGGTAGTACGGTACCACCTTGAATACTACAGCGTGGGCCTGTGTTCATGATATGGTATCATCATCGTAACAGTGACCTATATTCATGTTGACATGATTGTTGGCAGCTGGAACAAGACCCAAATCAATAAAAGTTACATTACATCAAAATACCTAGCGTTATTGAAAGAAAATAAGACGAATTCAAATCAAGTCACTGTTAACAATGTTCCACAAAATAACGACCATTGTCGCAGAGAAAGAAGGTGCAGTAGGGCTCGGGTATGATTTTAGGGGGAGCTGAGTATCTTCTTGAATACTCCTGCCTTCAGTTTAACTTCCTGTTTTGACTACGGAGATTCTTCGAACTCAAGAGAGCGGCAGAGGATAGTGAACACCCTGTTGTTCTAGTCCATGCATATACGCCTTCTTAACCGTTAAGCCAAGAAACTGGAGTGGTCACTGAAGAAACATGAACCGAGACTTCATTTTATGTATTTATTTACATCGTTCCTTATGTTTTTGGTGCCGATTTTTTTTATCGATGGCTGCATATAAAGCCTTTGGAATTGTCTACCGGGAGAATTTGCAACGCAAACCTGAACACACAGTGAAATTCTGAAAAATTCGACGCCAGTTACCATCTTAAAATTTGATCACAAACGTAATCGTGTTCGGGTAAATATACAAATTCCCCAGCAGGCCTAATTAACATCTGATAATTCTTTTCCTTTATTAGAAAAGAAGTTTTAATTACCTCTCATTACGCCTAATGACCACAGACGTCATTTGCCCCTCATCTATGCTGTGGCATGGGCCCTCATTTCGATTAATTTTTATTGCGCGTGGAATCTGAATAAGATTAAAAGTTCGGAACGCAACCGCCCGCTAAAGTGATTAACAGACGCTGATAAAAACTTCAAATTAGGAAAAGCGAAGTTAGGTAAAACACCACAAAATGTAATTGGATCACGGACCGGCATCGTTTGGGCTATTAGAATGTTAAATACGTTGTTGCATTAAACTGAAAATTGCAGAAATCGAGTTCAGAGGAATCACTCTCTCCGTATCACGATAGCATGTAGTTTCACGCCATGTAAGTCAAACTGTGCCGGTGGGTGATGTCACACATAAGGGGAAGTGAGGTTAGTTTACCTACATGCTGTGTCTCTCCATTACTCATTAGATATGAAATACGGCTAGAATTTTAACCAACCTCAGCTAAAAGGTTTCTGTGGGCTGCAATGAAAGATTCGTAACTGACATAACACCTTCTCAACTGCAGACGTTATATTTGCATCTAATTCTTCATTTAACCTATACACCAATAATTTGCACGCAGATAATTGAATTTTGAGGCTAGTTATATTGTTTCCCCATTTATTATTAGTTATGCTAACTTCTGTTCATTCAATTTCCTTCCAACGAAGACATAATTTTTACTTTCAATACTTGACTTCCGCTCAATGACAGGGAAATGGTACGAATTATAAATGTTTAAAAATATGATTCTGCTGAATCTACAGTTTTTTATTCTGCAACTCATACAATAGGGCAAAGCCACTATTTTAAGTATTTAAATCATCACAGTGTAAAACCACAAACAGATACTGCATTACAATGGCTCAAACATGTTACTCGGAAGCCCATTCAGATCTAAAGCGATCAGTCACTTTCTACATGAAAGAAAAAATCGTGCAATTAACAGTGCAATGGCCCAACTTTAACACAGTTCAATTATTTAACAGGAAATGCTAAGGCACAAGCCTGACAACAGTTTCCAATTTTCATAAAACAACGAAGTTGATTATTCTTCAAAGTGAATTGTAAATGCGTGGAATGATGTACGAGATATTCTCACGCCTTGCGTGATGGTTTGAGCTGCAATTACAGTATTTCAAAGAGTTCTCTTACCAGGTCCTTTGTTTGTAAGAAACATCAACATAATCACCTTCTCAGTCAGACTTAAGAGCAGGACACAAATTCTTAATGCCCATGTGAGATATATATATTTCTATTATAAATACTAAACTTCAAAGCTTACAAGAAGTACGGAATCAGACTTGTACCACTTTGGACACTTTCTGAGTCCTCTAGAGCACCATACTCTATCACATACCCATACACACCTTAATTTGTTAACGAGAGAGAGGACTGCGTAAATGTGTGGTACGAGAATTGTGCTGGCATCCCAGATTTTCTTTGTTACACAGACGTCTATTACAAAAGAATCTACAGAGTAATTTTTACCGTGTGTTAACTTCTCACCAACAAGACATAACATAGCATAAATATTTAATATAAATGCTTATGTAATCCACAACATAATTCCTTTTTATAAATTACGATAAAAAATAATTTTAACATAATTATATTTAAAATGACTTTGGAAGCGTTCTGCGTTATGATGCCACATAGTCCTGTACATTGTTACTAGAGTCTTGGAGGAACATACCACCTCCATCTTCAGCATTAAGTAATACATAACGAGGCCCTTCACATATTAAACATACCACATGTAATATGTACATATGGCCAAGGATAAATGCTACTCAAGCTTTCTCACGTATTCTGATTGACAATCTTCATACGATGACTTACAAAATTTCTCTCTCGTGTTGTAATATAATAGGAGTGCTAGGATTATTATAAATCAAAATGTGAAGTTATGATATATCTATTCAATGTCAAACCATTATTAATAAAACTCTTCATATCCCTATAGGATATCTTTAAAATAATAATGGCTAACTCTGAAATTAAATAATTTCAAATTATTGCAAAACCCATTATTTGTGCAAAAAAATATTGCAGGTATGTAAACAGGCACAAAAGTTTAAGAGGAAAACTTTCATTCAACATTACATGCTGTGTGATGTATTTGTGCTTGTCAACACAGAGCGAAACCTTTGTAATATATTTTCCCAAAGGCCTAGAATACATAAATATTGCACTTTATCATACAACCACACACTTTATAGGTTCAGCTTTACTAACACAGAACACGCAGTCTTCCATATAATAAAATGGTACATAATTCTTAAATACAACATCGTTATCCTATGGCGTTAAGTTCATACACAAAAACAATTGAATTAAGAATTTTTAAAGAGGACTGTGTAAGAACATAAACTAGGATGTACAACAGTTCTTAAAAGTAGCATGATATGTCAATAAACAATTAAATGTGTTAGCAATAAACTGCATTAAACTAATCAAAGGTCTACAACACTCATCAGAAGACTAAGAAATGTTAAAAAAACATGAGACTATAAAAGAAACAAAGATATTTTGCAGGAACTAAAAAATGAATTCAAGCAGTTAATTTTCAATAACACAAACCAATGGATACATATATTGACAAGCAATGAAATAAATCTGGAACAAGAAATAAAGAAAGTCCTTTAAAGACAAAACACGACTGGACAACAGAATGAGTCACACGGTGGACCAGTTTCATGAATGCTCGATAATGATATTTTCCTATTCAGTTTTTCAACATTTACATTACTTTGCAATTTATATTTCAAACACTTACTTGTTACCAAAGCAAGATTACACAAACGCACATATTTATTTCAAAGTAATTCCCAAAATGTGGAAATAGAATAGTCAAAAACACTTCTTCAACACCAAGCAAAAATAGTTTTCGATGCCTCGAAATAAAAATTAAGGGGGCATTAGAAGAAACACAGAGCAAAATTTGTTATTCAGAAAAATATAAAAATAAATGGATCAAATTAGAACAATGAATGCAAGAGCCAACGTTGAAACAGCAGTCACTTCAAGGGCAAAATATAATCCTTGAAGACAATTTTATGGAGAACCATGAAGATGTTATGTATGAGATATATATATTGCATGAGGAAATGTTGAGCCTTCGATGCAAATGAAGAATGGAACTGCCTCAATAGCACCCAAACCATATGATATAATGTTGGCATAAACATTAACACAGGGGACAAACCCCAACAGGCACTTGTGAGTACCAAAAATTAAACTGAATTTAAAATGGCATGAACAGGTCCAATTAACAGCCACATGTGCTTACACAAATGTTATTAAAATACATTAGTTTTTGAGTCCCTGTTCATTACTTGGGAATATTATTTTATTGATAAATCAGATTTAATCATAGGAATCATCTCCCAGAAATAATGCTGCAGTTCCTATGCACGAAAGGGTAACATATGGTAGAACTTCTCTAAATATGGAAGGCTGTAGTAATAAAAACACACAACTCTAAAGCCCTGGGCAGAATTCAGACCCACGGTGCCAGAGTTCACCTGTCCTAAGGCAATGTGATGAAGTTCCATATTAAGGGATGTCAGCTGGGATGTTTTAAAAGTAGCAGAATTCTACTGAGACAATGCCAATAAAGGTTAAACCACACAGCCAATGAGATCACATTGGCCACATAAGGAGAAAAATTCAAGAACTGCTGCTCAATCTTCGAGTTTTGTTGATTTCTTAAACATTTTAAAGAGGGTCTAATTTATATGTAAAATTATTAAAGAGATTCTATTACAAAATATATATTATTTATGTTGTGACGTATTTGAAATGTGTGGTGTTAAAAATACGTCTATTTACCGAGGTCTCCAGAACAGCACTAGGAACACCAGCGACACAATGCACAATGACCTTTTAACAAATTGAAATTGGCATTATAACTGAAATCTAACAATAAGCTCAGAAACGTTACTGGACTCAATGAAAATGCCACATTCTGATGACAAGCTTTTCACTATCAATGGAGGAGTATCAAGTGGATATAGAATTTTCAATTACCTACTGTCAGTAACTTCAACCACATTAACACTGAATCTTTTTCTTCACTGCTAAGCAGCACGAATATAGCACAAATCCAGAGCTGGTGAGCTTTATCTGGAACGGTACTATAAGCAGAGGTAACAAACGTAACTTCAGTTCTCCAGTAAAGCAAAATTTCTAGCTGGCGGACATTCTCTCTACAACACAAACCATGTACTGTACGTGCAAACCAAATGCACTTTGCTTAGCATGTCACATGTAGCTTGATTTTAAGAACACAGGACTTGGTGTAGTGCTTCAAGCTACATGTTACACGGTACGCGAAACACATTCAGTGTGCACATACCTCAACCGCTTTAAACCAGTCTCATTACCAACACATAACATACAGGACATAAAATACTGTCAATAACTGCTGTTGGCAAACCTGCAAAGTGGAGAGACAGTTGTAGTTTATTTAATGATGCTTTTACAGTAGCTCAGACTACATAGCGTGGAATGGAAGAATGACAGTAATGAATTGGAAAGTATGTGCAAGGAAGCAGTTGTGGCCTAATTTAAGGTACTATCCTGGCATTTTCCTGCAGGGACTGAGTAAAACCATGAAAAAACCCAGTCAGGATAGCCAGTCTGAGATTTGAACTGGGGAACTTCCGAACACAATGCAGGAGTCGCAACCGTCGGCAGCTATTGGGGAATTTTTACACGTATCAAAACAGCTCAAATGAAACAAAGTAACAGATCATTCACGCAGAGATGAATAAAAAATCTAATTTACCTATGCTTATTCCAAGTAGATAATTCTATAGCAAATATTTATCAATCCCCTAATTTGCAAAGTGAAATCTGTTTCCAGTGTGCAGAATAAATAACAACACCGCATTAACTCTTCTAAATGGGGATTATCATCACAATCTGAAAACTGTCCGCATCTTTAAACTTCGCCACAGAGATTTCCATTTCTTGTATATCAGACCTCACTAAACTGTAAAAAACATATCAGTATTATGCACAAAAATTCCTCATATTGAAAAATACAATATCTGTAACACAGATACAGAAGCCCTGTGTAAACAATACATACTACCCATGTTTAATGTTAAAAGAATGGCATATAGTCACACATTTATTCATGGTAAATATTTAGACAGGTAACCCACATTATCTTCTTCTTTTTTTTTACATCTGTGATAAAACTGACAGAAACTGCAATGTTAAGGACATCAAATTGTTGATAAAGTTCACAGCCTGTTTAACAAACATGCAGTTCTGTGGTCCTTCATGTTAAGCAAATTTATACTTCTTATACATCGAATATAATTTTACAACTATACAAACAATGTTAAAAATTATCTATCTGCAATGCTGAACCAGTAAGCAAATATTTATTTTACAGAATGTAATCATACTCTTATTAAAATACATTTAACTCAATATTAATATTTAAAAGAGAGACCACAAAAAGGAAAATACCATATTTCATCACCAATTCATACTTTCATATTGACAAATAAATTGTTGTATATTTCAAGCATTCCGCTTTCTCACACAAAAGACTGAGAAATTGAATGAGAACGTGAAAGACACAGCAGCCGGTATAAAATCTGTAGTGAGTGGGAAGGTGAAGCGAGCATATCACATTCAATATAGTTCGCCAAGAACCACTGCTACAAAAATCACCATGTGATCTACAACATGACCATACAGTCATACGAACGCCGCAGCATCACGTGGATGAGATGCTCTGACACATGAGAGAAATATGAGTGTTAAATGAAGGTAGAATTAATAAATACATAAAGAGTTCAAATAAAAATAAAATGTAATTTGTTGAAAATAGAATATTTGTAGGGCCTACCCAGTTTCTATGTGAAAATGTTTCAATTTACAAATTTCCAAAGGACAATTTCTGTATATCCTCACATAAATAAAACACCCAAGTTATTGGTTGTAAAAGTAAACGAGACAGTGCGTGAACTGCGTGATGAAATATAGGTCAACAAGTAAATTTAATTTGTTAATATCTTGTCAGTAAAAATTAAATACGTTAACCTCCTGCCACAGTCTGTATGCACCTTACTGTAGGAAATGTTCCTCTTTTTTCAAATGTTGTATATTAACACACTCACTGCTAAAATTAGGTTTTCTTTCTATTTACTAGACAGGCATTGCACTCCATTCCCACACAACTGAGCTTCGAGCCCTGGCATTTAAAATATGGCCTCAAAAAAATGCTGGCAGCAAATGTGTTCAGGGCAACAAAAATACTATTATTTATAACCATTCACTTCAAGTAATTTATTTCAACACCGGGTTTCGTTCCAATAAAGTTATGCTCCATTACAGTACACAAACTGGCTAATTACACAAGATATTAGCAGTTCTATGAGAATGTTATAACCTTTTCCACTGGAGAGAAATCATATGCCACTCCTGCGTTGTTGATAGAGCTAACACAATCTCATGTGAAGCTGGGCCAATACAGCAACGATTATGAACAGAGTGCAAATTATAATTCTACAACTGCAACGTACTTTTGAGCATCAGGGCAAACTAATATGCATATGGCGTACCACAACCACTTTTATGCTGAAATTCAACCTAATGCTACTTACTCCTATGCAACTGGTTGGAACTTTACCTAGAAGATTTCAGAAATCCTCCTCTTGGAATTTAGCTAGTGCCATATTTAGTACTTTCAAACACTCCTTTGCGGAAGAAGGCAGAGAACTCGTGCAGGGCCAGCTTCGTGGGGTTCTCTCGACTGGAATAGAGTGGGCAGCTTCCTATGTTTGAACATGTTTCTAGCAAGCACCTTAAATATTCTTCTAACTGCTTCCTTCGTTGATGAGCAAGCGATTCTGAATTTTTTGCAAAGAACCGCCTCGGAGGGAATGCAAGCGCCTCCACCTATAATAAGAATACCAACAAGGTTGGCAACACAAACAGATGCAATATCTCCTTAGCGCCCTGTTCACAAACACGTTCAATCTGTGCTTTCATGGCCAACATTAACACAATACAGTTTATTACAAAATGGTCGGTAACATACCTAATAATTTCATAGCGAAATTCCAAAATGCGTTGCTAGAAGAATTTAACATGTGATACTAATCCTGAATAAGCACTCACCTGTGAACCATACTTTTCCTTCATGTTCGCGTGCAACTCTCGGAAGCGCTTGTAGCGACGTAGAAGAGACCAACGCTCCCCACCCACGTCAAGACGAACCTCATACTCATAGTGGGTCGATGAACCAGCTCCACGCAGTACGTAACTTGGAATCTGCACCCAGTGCACCGAGTTACTGCTGGTTGGTGATGCAAGGCTGAGATTCACTCCAGATGAATTTTCCATCTGTTGACTCTGAAACAAGTAACATGCTACCTGGATACTGGAATATACATAAACTTCAAAACTTGAGGCAACACAATCATAATTTAATCCAAGTCTTCATGTTCTCGTAGTGATCTAGAGACATATTCATTTTGGGCAATGACATCTTGTTGTGTTGGAACAGTCTGCCAAATAGTTGCCCTATGTAATTTTAAAGGAAACTACTGGTAAAACGTGCCCTGATGACAGAGGCAGTATGACCTCTGAAACGTTGGTGGGCATCAACCAGACTACACGGCGCAACAACCCAGAAGACAGAAATCTTCATACTCTGATGACGGAGACAGTATGACCTCTGAAACGTTGGTGGGCATCTACCACACTACACAGCGCAACAACCCCGAAGATTGCTAGCTTCAATTATAAACTGTATATCAAATTTGTTAATCACAAAAGTTTTGGGAAAGAAAAAGGATGTGAATTATGTGGTATTTCAAAAGCCATTTACAGTATGTGTGCCACTATAATGGCTCTAATTTATATCCGTATCAAGAATTAAAATACTGTAGCGAATAAATTTTAGTTAAAGACATTGTAAAATTAGGAATGTAGAGATTTTAAGTTGCATAACATTAAGTTTAGCAGATATTTGAATTGTGCTAAACGTAGGAATGTGTAAACGACATTTCCTGGCATTGTGGAAAACAGCAAAGGCTAACTCTCCATTCTCTAACGGGAACGGGGGGAAAAAAACAATTGACGGAAATGCGGACATAGCCACTAAACAGCCGGTATAAAAATTGGAGAGGCGAACGGAGAAAGTTTAGGAGGGAAGTGGGAGACAGATCGCAGTCAGGACTGCCAAAACTTTCAAGAAGAGGTCAATGAAGCCACGGGCAACGGGACACTGATCGGGCTACCGATTGCAGGTAAGCGCTGAGGCGATGATTCCAAGGGTACTTTAGTAAACTTTCAAAATTTACATAACCAAATTGTTGTAGTGTAAAGTGAAATAGCCTGAGTTACGAACAAAATGTAAAATTTATGTAGTACCTAGTCTTAGAAATAAATGGTGTATAGTCTTAAGGAAAAAGCTGTAGCTTTCTGGAAGAAATATCATATCGGCCGAGTACGTTTAAGCTGACGACAGCATCGTTGTGAACTTGCCTTGCTCCATTCCAAGCCACGCTACCAACACTAGTAGGACAAACCATTTCCACAAATTACCCCATTACAATACTATCATAAACTAAGTGCCATGCCTTTATACAAAACGTTATTACTTACAGAGGGGGAAGGATAAATGGTAGGACTCACTGGTGACATCAGTCCATCCCTGTTGGAAAAAGAACAAATCAATCTCAGATTACAGTGAAGCTCAAGTAAGAACAGAAATACACAATTCGTGTTATTTGCCGTGTGTGTCAGCCGACAGCACTCCAACATATTCCTACTTTTATTTCATGGTACATACTGCATTATCCTCGGTCTGTGCCTGTGCGCCAGCGACTGCCTGCAGCCTGGACTTTCACCGTCGCTATGGAAGTCCTCATTATCCAGCTTCAGTGTGTCTCCAAGCAGATCTGACAAACTGCGTACAAGTGGGATCATATCACCTTCAGATTACATATGCTACATGAAATTAAAATTTACCCTCCAAAATTAAGGAAAGGATTTTACAAAACATGAGTTTATGATGTTCAGTCCAACAAATATAATTACAGTGCAATAATCTTTATCAAAATTCCAGCTTAGATCTTGAACACTGACCCATCATCAGCTGACGTAGACATGTCATCCGACTCTTCACTGCTGCAACGCACTGGACTCTGAGGCTGCAGAGGTCTGAGGGGGTGGTGCTCCAGAGCAAATTCCAGCCGAACATACTGACGCTGAAGCTCCTGGAGAACCTGATCAATAAAAACAGTGACATATTACTTTGTGAGATTTCAGGTTCTCACAGCGATGAGTACGAAGATGGCCGTCATCTGGCATATTACCTTGATTATCAATACATTATTCATTATACTGTAATTATGTTGGACATCATTAATTGCCTGAAGTATATTTCATGTAACACGACTTTTTGGGAGTCACTGACGTGAACTGGGATTACCATGGGAAAATAAATTCTGATAATTTTTTGTTATCCTGCTAATAAAACTTGATCATAATTTTTATTAGATGTGAACACGTTACTTAATGCTTCAATATGATCAGACATGAAAAAATGACTTATTGCAAGAAATAATTGTCATCATCAAATATATGCCAACATGATACATGCACATCTTCCTGCAAAAAAGAAATCTTTGGAAAGAGGATCCAAGAAACCACAAATTTCTCTCCTATCGACATCAGACATTTTACTACTCACAACTATCTGATTGTTGAGCTCGCCCTTATCACAGTCATTCTCTAGACTCTGCATGATGAGCATCTTTTGGTGAGTTACTCGCTGACACAGTTCTTTCATCGCTCGCATTGCATCACTCACACAGATACAATCGGGATTAGATGACTGCAAAATAATCTGATTTATGTGTTGACTGCCTGGAACGCACTGTAAAAAATATAGCGTCACTTGTTTTCAGTTAATAAAATTGTTTTATTACAACCATAAAAGCCCACCACTTAATAATTTTATAACAGATTCCATTTGGAATTAGTACAACCTAACTCTTACATCCACAACCTACATACTCCCTGTAGAAGAAAACTGAATTATATATGTTAAAAAGGTTAGACAGTTCACTGTAGTTTTAATGTGTAAGGAAATTAAGTAGTCATCATTAATAAATATTTTACTTTAAATAGTGAATCAATTTGCCCTCTTGCCATCAAATACGAAGATCACGTCAACTGTGGTTTTCAGGACCGAGACGTCATGATGTCTTGTGGGACCTTACCAAATTTTTGTAAAAACATCAGTAACCACGGCAATACTACAAGGCAATGCAACCTAGAAGACCACATTCAATATTTAAACCACTACAAGAACCTCAAATTCCTGCCAAGATTTTTACTAACCTTCCCATTCATAAACTGAGATTTCTGCTGCGTTGTATTATTGTGAATCTCCGTAGGAGGTGAAATCTTTTCAAAAGAACTGGTAGAATGTTCTGAATTAACTATTCCATTGCTACCCGCTGCTGCCCTCAAATAGCTGTCTTCGATACTAGACACTTCATCACTGTCGTCAGAGCCAACGTGTGCCACTAACTGTCGTGCGCTTGCAGCATCTGCTTGTTGCTCACTCAGCCTTTTGGTGTCACTGTTTACATCACGTTCCCCTTCCACGGAGCAAGGTGATAATGCAGTATGGAATGTATCAGCTGTGTCCAACGAGCTTGAAATGGTACATGATGATGCAGATGCCTTTGCTGCTGCAGCGGACTTATTTACAGGAACTTCACCAGAATTACCACTATATACACTTTTTGCCAACATTGGACACTTTAAATCAAGTGATAGACTGCAACAAATAAATTAAAGTTAGATTAATTTAAATAAATACCACATGTGAACAACTGAAAGATTTCTTGGCTGTTCATATACGTTCTTGGCAGATGATCCAGAAGTGGTTTGCCATTGCCTTCTTCTGTGTGTGAATGGAGTAATTGTTTGGATGCCACGGAGGAAAACTCCGTGTTGCCTAGACCACGGCCTTGCCCAACACAAGTTATAAATTCGGGCACCGCCGGGAATCGAACCCGAGACCCCAGGATTACAAGGCCAGCGTTCTAACTGCTAGACCACCGTGGTGGTATTTCTTGGTTATACATAAATAATGAACAGGTGAAGAGTTGGTTTTACTTTTGACACAGAGGTGTAAAGAGAAACTTTAAAATAAGAATGTTACACACATGACTTTAAACAAATGACACCATTAAAATATGTAAGCACTTTCATACACCCAGATTTGAACATTCTGAAATAAACACAGGTTCAAAAACACTAAAGTTCACATACATCAAGTCTTTCACAATGAACCAACTATATCCGTGGAGCAGAGTTCTACTGGATAAGCTAATAATGTTCTGCATCACAAAATTCTCCACTGTTTATGGAACCTGATGTTGCCATCAGTTCACATCCTAAGTTGGATTAATCAAGTCCACATCCTTCAACTTTATTTCCATAAAATTAATTTAAAAATTATCCTCCCATCTGTAGCATAGATGTTCTGAGTGACCTCTGGCTTCCCAACCAAAATTACGGAAGCATTTTTCATATCCCCCCCCCATACATAAACTTTCTCTACTTGTAAACAAATCAGAGGAATATGTTCGTGGAAAAATCATTTAGATATAATGTTCGTCGCTGAAACACCTGTATTCATGAACTACTCATGATTTTACTTACATAATGCAGTACGTGTTGTCACACTTACCTCCAACAGTGCTGAAAGATACAATTTCTTCTCCACTCTGAGACTCAATCTCGCTAACATTCTGTACTCCCTCACTCCTTATTGCATTATAATACTAAAATTTTTATGTTTAATCCTACTATTACAACTCTACTGCAGTCCACTGTGTACTTCTTCTCCTCTTCCTAAGCCACTTTTGTATTTCCCACAACTCCTCCTCAGTTTCAACCAATGGTCTGTTCATTATACTGTAATAATATTAAATTCAAATTTTTAAATATGAAACTTACGACTGTTTGCGCTGCCATATCTCTTGCAGCTGCTCACGCGTTCGCTGTGCCAGTAATTCCTTTGTAGCCTGTACCTCCAAGCCACTGCCCTGCCAAAGTTAAAGTTCACATACAGAGAATTATAGCTACAACTTTCAATTCTGTAGACGATAGTAAGAATTTCATTACAAATAATATTAATGACACTGTACCATATTTTTCAAATATTATAATTATCAGAACATGATGAATAAATATTTTTCTATTATAATCATACCACCAGTTGCACCCACATATACATACAATTACACAAATGCTCACAAAAAAACCCAAACACTTAATGGACTCAGTACTCACCTGAAAGAAACATTTAGAATACATCCTGAAAATGTTTCAACAAAAGTTAGACCAAAGCAAATGGTGTGCCGAACAGCTGAAAGAAACTTCAGCTTTATTGTAGATAACTTCTCCAACCACATTAAGGCTTGTACTCACCTACAAACATTGACAGTAAACAGTGTTTGCAGACAGTTTACTTTACTATGTTTGTGGACTGTTGGCAAACACTGTTCCATGTTCTCGTCATCCCACACATCATGCTGTATGACTGGAATTTGCAATGGATGTATATTTCTGTTAAATGAAAGGCAGTGACACGGACACTGGTAGACAACGCACTTTCACAAAGAACGGAGATAACATTTTTGACAGATTCATAATCTGATGCTTCCACTTTGGTCTCAGTCTCCCTCTTGCACATTCTCTTTTTACCTCCATATTTAAAATATTTTAACTTTTCTTTTCATCCATTCTTAAAATGTGTTCACACCCTTTCTGTTGTTATTATAACTTCCAAACTGTGTAACTTTAGATTCTCTCTAATTGATTCTATTTTTACTGTCTCTTTCGGTTTTGCGTTTTGTATTTCTTAAAAATCACATCTCCCCTCCCATTATAATCTACTAACAGTGACCTGGTCCATGGCAAAGTTTCTGCTCCGTTTGTTCTACAATCACTAAAAGTAACAACAAACATTTAAAAAAAACATAAAACTCACCTTCTGCAATGAGGTAGTGACTGCAGCCAGTTCTGAATCAAGACGATGTACCTCATTTCTACTATCAGAAATAGATTGAACTCTTCTCCTCAATTCTGCTTCTAAGGATGCTAATTCCCGGCACTGAAATAGAGTTATTATAACCGGTTTATGTTGAAAACCATGATTATAATAATACTTTATACACTCAAGTATCTGAGCTGATGAATAACTGAAGAAAAGAAATAACCCTTCGGCGTCTTGTCAACTGTCACTTGCGTTACCATCATAATATGAGCATTGCAATAGTAGCACAGCACAACTACACCTTGAATTTACCATTCCAAATGGTAAAAACATATTTTGGAAAATGAAGAAGACGTGGAAGCTTGGTTTCTTTCAAAACTAAATAAGTATTACATACCTCATATATGCATATCCCACAGAAATCATTCAAAAACAGATAATCATGAAAAAGTAGAAAAATTTCCACAATTCTACAATTATACAGCTATTCTAAAATACCTATGTATCTGAAACAGGATAACAGCACAGTTTTCAGCTCTCCTGAGTCATATTTTGGAGGTGCTGGGTTTAAATTTTAGCTTTGGGCTAACCTGACCAAGGGATTTCATGGTTTAACTACAGCACTCAATGCAAATGTTGGTACAGAACCTTAAAAACACAACCAGAAATTCCTTTTAGGCCCTTCTCAACATAAAATTATCCTGTGTTAAGGCTCTGAATCACCCAAGCAACTGACAAAGCATAATTAAATAAATCAACATAAAATGTTGATTAATGTATAGATCTTTAAAGTTTCTAAACTTGAGGAAGTATAATACAAGCTAAGATAAATATTTTTGTTCTTTGTTTCCCTTCTAAAATGCCCCTCAAAACGTAATTAAAACTTACGACACCGAATTCTCAATCATCGCGTACACTTCAAAGTAGCACGCAGGATCAGATTAATACTCACATGTGTGCTGACAAGATCTCGAACAATCTCATCACCTGCAGCAACACTAGACCACGACTCGGCACTTGAGTCATCTGTCAGTCTATCCCCGGCCACACTCAACTCCAAACACTCCGCTGCAAGTGCCTATAAATTATTAAAAAGAAATGTGGAAACACGGATTGAATCCCGGGTTATTTAACAAAGACGTTTAATGGCAGAGGTCACACAGTTGTATCCAAAATTTCAAAATCTTTTACTGGCAGAAGATTTTTCCTCTAGCCTCTGCATCCAGGCTAACTCTTGGGCCCACCCAGTCTCCTATCCAGCGGGTACTGGGTTTCTTTCCCAGGGGTAAAGCATGGCTGGGGCATGACACTGACCACTCAACCCTATCTAGTGCCAAAGTTAAAAATTATTAGGAGCTATACCGGTGCCTACCAAGCATAGGACAGTATAGTTCTTTTTTTTTTTAAAATACAAATTGGAACGTTGTCATTGCTCATCCCAGCATTCACATGGTGAGACTAAAGAGAACTACAAAATTTCAGTGAAGTTAATTGGTGGTTAAAATTCAAACTAAGTATCTACAAAATATAAAATCTATAGCAACACTGTTGCACAAACTTCTTTGGTAATTTCTATTGGTAAAATGGAATGCTACCACAATAAAATATATACAACGAACACAAGACACAAAAAACACAGAGAATCAAGCACAATGACTGACAAACCAAAGTAGAATTACCCACACGGGGATTCCATTACTACAGGAGTCGATTACATTAGTCAAGAGAAGAACCAAATCTGGAGCAGAAAATATGCATTAAGTTCTCTTTGCCACCATTTCAAAGTTACAACAATTTTATGTTGATATCACTTTTCACAAAATGGAAAGAATTCAGTGCAACACATCAATTTATTTCTTTGCTTGAAATGAAAGAAAATTCTTCTCTTTGTAGCCACGGTCCACAAACCCGTCCGACTCTCGACTCTCGCAGCCTCTGACCTGTAGCACCCCACTGGACACAATCTGGCCATAATTATTACGGATTCCTTCCATTGTCATGGCATCTCTTCCTTATCCCATATTAACTGAATAAGTTTATGGATCCTCATATGCAACTTTCTAACCTTACCTTAAGTAGTCTACTTCACAATCTGGCTGCCTTACTCCTGGGCAAAAGCTCCCAATATACATTGTGTAAGAGGTTTAATGGGCCCCAGAGCCACTTTAAACATGGTGGAAAACAGAAAAGTCCTGCCACTGGTGCGAAATGAACTCTGGTCATTTGGTCAACAACCTACGACTGACTGACCGACCAAGATACCACAGCTAGCACTACCATCAAATGTACTGGAAAATACTTGACACAAAAAAAATGTACAAAATTCCTTGAAGATGTCTGGCTTCTTTGCCCTGACAATGGCGGCAGAAAAGGACCTCTGAAATGTCAGTACACTTCTACCAAACTACAAGGTGCAACAACCCAGAAGACAGCCATCTTCAGACCCACTGCCACGAAAACCTCAAATCCTACTACAAAATTAATTATGTAAGAGGTTGAAAAATATTTTCCATTCATTCTAAGACAATAAAAATCTAACTATGAGAGGTGGACGGTCGTGCAACGCGTTACTACATGCTGTGCAACAAGATGAAACACTTACCAGAAGAGACTTAACACGACAGCAGCCTTTCTTCAATGTACCTGCTTGCAGCAGCTTTCCAGAGACCAACTCTGATAAGTACTTCCGTTTCAGCTCCAGCTTGCTCTGCAGTGCTACCACCTGACTACACTCACTGGCAACCTACACCAGTCACATACACAACATCCAGAAGCAGACAAAACAAACAACAAAATGCATAAACACAAAACCAAAATATAAATAATTTTGCGATGGCATCTATAATGCAGGAACTTGAGACAGACTAGTACGTAATTCAATATCTAATCATAAAAGACATTTCTGTATAACAAAGTTCATCTGGAATAATTTCCGATCTCCTTGGGTTCTTTATCGGGTAACAGAAATTATAGGCCCCAAGTATTTGCAATAAATATTAACGCAGCTTTACTTATCAAAGTTATATTTTTCTTCACTCATTCATAAATACTGCACTTAAATAAGTATTTATTTGTTATTCATGAACTTCAAATTTATCTTTAATTTTTTAATTCCAAACTTGTAATTTGAACTTGGTGAACTTGTTAGTATATAAATGAAGATAATGATCGATAATAAAATTAATCATTTATTATCAAATTAACATAAACAAATTTCCTTATCATAACACACAATGTTTTGCTGTACTGCACAGCAACTCGAACACAAATCAAATTTATTTTTCCAGAAATGTACAAAAACATGACTACAGAATTAACAAATAAATGTACAGCTGAAGTGATAATTTTGTTAAATTACAGGTAATATGAAATACAAAATAAATGTACAGCTGAAGTGATAATTTAGTTAAATTACAGGTAATATGAAATATATGCTGTAAAGAAACAATCATACTTCTGTTGTAAATTTGTGGGCTCTACTGTGGCACTGGTGAATTATGGATGAAGCTTCTTAAGTTCATTTCAAAAAGTGCAAGCAATTTTAAACTTAATTACTTGACAACATGAACAAATGATTATTGGAATGGCTCTGTAATCACGAACAAAATTTCATGTACTTTACGAGAAAGTTTAAAATTGTACTTTGTATTGTGAAGGAAATACAGAATAAAATTCTGAACTTTTATTATCTCCACATAATGTAAATTTCTTTGTAGCACAAATTGATCACAAATAAAATTTCAGGCATAAGACTGAACTGCAAAATGTTTTTTCAACCACAATTTACCACTACACAATTAAAGAATTACTCAATGAATGAGAGAGAATTAGACGACATTTTAATTCCTGTACTACCCGGTACTCATAGCGGTCGAGGACTAGGCCTAGAGAAAATCCAAAATCCTAACCTCTGGAAACAAGTCACCTTCCTGTGACAAATTAAATGAGCATTCTTTTGTTCTCACACAAACACAATGACAAAGTTATTTCCACTAATTTGATGTTTTAAATTTACAGAACAGTGAGTCTGTGCGGATTCATTATTTATTTTCAGATATCGGATTTTGCCATTTCCTACTCACTATTCCACCACTTTTCCTTGTTCTGAATTATTCTGCATTGATTATAATATTTTCAGAATTCATAACAAAGTAAAGTGAAACAATATTTGAAAATTTCAAGATCACATATAACATGTCAATGTATATACTGTGACGTTATACACAGAATCTCTCATTTGCTTCTAACCCTGCACTATAGATTACCATTCCTACAGAGGGAAGGGGAAAATAAATTAACAAAATTACAGTACAGCTTGCAATGTGACATATTCACACACCTGTGACATCTGAAGCTCTCGTTCATTTTCCAGCAGTCCCCGCTGCCGACTTAGTTCACCTTCTCTGAGTTTTAATGTTGCCAAGTTATCATGCTGGTGCCTTTCAAGACGACGCCAGTCTTGAGCAAGACGTCTGCACTGCGCTGCATATTCTTGCTCCATATGTTGGCGTTCCTAACAGTCATTGTGGAGTTGGTACTTTTATGCTTTTGGAACATACTTTTATTTCTACAGTTTGTAAAAGATTAAGTGGCCATCTTCTTACAGGGTCTTCCCTAATGGTCAATACTCTTATGTCCATTCAGTAACATAAATAATAATATGTTCCCTAAGGTTCATTATACTAAACACAAAATCCTACCACTACACCACAGGCTAAGCCAAATAAATTCTCATCCCATGTTCAATCTGTAAGGAATCACTAGAACTTCTCATTCATGCCTTTGTCAAATAGATACATAGCATGAAACTTTCAAACACATATTTTGTGTTCATTTCATATTTCCTCATGCTGCATACATCACATCTGGCTCATTTCAATAATATGACATGACAACTCTTAGCATTTAATGCATGCATTAATTAACTAACTAACTAGATGGCTTACCGAACCCGAAGGTTCATCACCGAATTTCCCAAAGCCCTCCTGGGCCAACAAAATCCAGTCTCCTTCATCTCCTATCTCCCATAGATCCCGCCTGAGATTATCCTCCCGTCTACGTCTAGGTCTCCCCAGAGGTCTCTTCCCCCCAGGCTTCCCAAATAGTGGACCCAACCACCCAGATGGCTTACGAACCCCGAAGGTTCATCACCGAATTTCCCAAAGCCCTCCTGGGCCAACAAAATCCAGTCTCCTTCATCTCCTATCTCCCATAGATCCCGCCTGAGATTATCCTCCCGTCTACGTCTAGGTCTCCCCAGAGGTCTCTTCCCCCCAGGCTTCCCAAATAGTGGACCCAACCACCCAGATGGCTTACGAACCCCGAAGGTTCATCACCGAATTTCCCAAAGCCCTCCTGGGCCAACAAAATCCAGTCTCCTTCATCTCCTATCTCCCATAGATCCCGCCTGAGATTATCCTCCCGTCTACGTCTAGGTCTCCCCAGAGGCCTCTTCCCCTCAGGCTTCCCAACCAGTACCTGGTGCACCCCTCTTGTCCCATGCATGCGCGCTACAAGCCCAGCCCACCTCATTCTTCTCGACTTAATCACCCTGACAGGAGGAGTACAGATTTTTAAGCTCTGCATTACTAATGCAAAATGAAAGTTTCTGAAGATGTATGTTATGTCTCACATCTTCTAGAGGGATCATAAAACATAAAAAATTAATATGTTACCATCTGAACTAACAGAAAGTGTCAATCATATGATTTGATAATTTCTTATTAGATATTATCTCAGCATTCAGTACCTCATCCAATTCACGCTGTGCAGCTTCTAGGGCTTCCCGCTTCTCCCGTTGCTCTCGTTCCCAGTCCTGCTCTCGTTCTGCTTGTTCCTTCTGTACAATAAAAGACAAATGTGCTGTACAGAAATGTCTATAATAAGGTTGGGTTCTTGAAAGTGATTTCCATGTCGTAGATTTACGGCATGTAAAAGAACCTTACGAGCATGATACAAGATATTTCGTCAGCAAAATTCTGAGACCATTTCTCACCCAAGTCTCCTGATTTTAACTGCCAGATGACTCTGACAGTCATATCAGGATTGAGTAGAAATTGTGCAGAGTCAATGGGCTCGTCACTCACTACCCATAAATGCACACTTCAAGACCAAGAAACCTCCGAAAAGGAGGGGGCGAAAACCCACGACCGGGTTGTAGAGCTGAGAAACAACAAAAAGGCCTGGTTCAAATGATAGTAATCAAACGTTATATAGATTTTGGGCTTTCTTGAGCCATTCTTTTTGCAAAAAAAATAATAAAGAAGTTATTCATAGTTGTGCTGGACTTATGCTTGTAACAGATTTTCTTCGGGATTTTCGTAGCTGACCCCTCCCAGAAATAGTTCAAGATAATACTTTACAAGCTTGGTATCCCACATCTTCGTACTGTTCCTCAAAAACCAAAATGACCTCAGATGTTCTGAGAGCATGGTTAAAACATTCATTCACAGATTATTACCACTCAAACATTAAAAGAAAAATGCATTAATGATACGATAGCCAGGGCAGATTGTAAATATATTTCAGGTTTCATTCAGGATGGAATAAAACGATGTCAGGCTTAGATAGGGGGCAGGTAACATACTTGATGACAAACTTCAGGCTGGGCCAAGCAAAACTCCTGTAATTCAGCACTTGTATTTTTGTGTGACATCAGTGGCCCCTCACTCTGATTAGTCTTACAGTTTACCGTTTTAATTTTTATAAATAACCACTAAAATTATATTATTCTCACCTTAAATGCTTCCTTCTCCTTAAGCAAAGAAGCCCTTTGTTTTTCAAGCTGCTCCAACTGTTCTGGATCATCACTGGGGTACAAAATACAAAAACATAAAACTAACAGACTACTCTCCTACCAATTTTCATGCACATGAAGAACTCTGCGAATGAATGAAAAATATTCAAATATTCAATTTCCTGATGAAGAGGCATTTTGATAAATTTGATGGAGATCAATTTTGCATCATGTAAAGTACAGGAATTTATTATCTGAATGGTACGCCCTGAAATAAAGTTAACCCTACACCTTTTAATTTTGATCCCAATATCAAGTACTTTTGAAGGCGAAATATGAAAATGCGCATACACCTGTCCATTATGCGTTAATCTAATCTCTGTAAATAACATAAAAAATGTCATCAGTGAATTATGCAATGACACTTATCTGTACAGATACATAAAATATATTACAAGGCCAAACGTAAAATATCATGATTCTGTATTAAATCAGGTAATTTCTTCTGCAAAAAATAATTTGTTCAGCCATGGTTATCATTCGTCAACAAGAGACCAAAGCATACGTCGAGACGATGTGTCTCCATTACGCAGACAGAACACTAGAAATAAGCACCTACCCACAAGAAACATTGAGGTTTTCAGTGGACCAAGCAAGATCTGGTGTTGACCAACTTAGCAAAGACAGGCGAGACAGACTAAGATGAGAACGGCTACCTTCCTTCCTCAGTTTAGCAGCCTCAACAGGATCATTGTAACGGAACATATTCGTGCGACCAAGTAGGATTATGCACCCTAAAATACACAACAAACACCACTTTATACCTTGATGCAATATATAAAATAATTATTTCTATTCTTATTTACCTGTGCTGTATAGAATTTAACCACAGACAATATATTTACTGTATTTTCTAAGGTACGGTTTGCCAAATGTTTTTGTCATATAAACCAGTGAAAGTGGTCTTTTGATACTGAAAAGCCAGAGGTAAGTGTTTGAAGAAATTTAATTTCAATAAGTACTGTAACAATCTCACTTGTTACAGTATCATATACTTTATAATAAATATTAAGATGCACATGCCATAGAATTGTTTTTGTAATTTAACAGTCAGTACCTCTATCAGACGTCTAAGGCTTGTAACTCGGTGTACAACACTCCATGACTAATTTTATGTAGGTAACAACTGGTTTTTAAGAAACAACGTCCTGCGACATCACACGAATAAAAAGCATAATACTCATATATTAAACAACAGCCTTCAAAAAACATGAAAATAACATCCAAAGTTGAGTAGCATCTCAACTCCCGCTACCATACACCTTTCATGATAAAACTATACATGTTCGATGTCCACTATGAGAAGTAATGCAGTAAGAAGTTTGTCTACTTGTCCATAACAAGCGAAAAGCGCGAGGCTGATGAATAGAAAAGTATTACCTTTCTCGTAATATTAACTCCGTGAATCAGATACCTTCTTGAGTAGCCAAATAGTTAATAAGCTGGTCAAGAAATTTTCCGTCTCTTACGGAACCTCAAGGTTCATTACCAATGTACGCGTTACAAACTCCTAATGAAATGTCTAGTCACTCTGCGTCACTATGAGATAAACAGGCGTTATCTGACCCTGGATCTTAATTTTATTTACCTTGGGACAGTCGAGCAGGCTTATCAATGAGGACAGTGTTGACCCAGCATTGGGCCTGCTGTTTGGGAATCAGTGTCGCAACTCCATCTTTAAGCACTACGCTACAATGTTCTGCTTCTATGCCAAGTCCATTGAGGATAATGTCTTGCTTTACCTCAGCATCTTCTGTCCCAATAAGTGTTTCTCCTTCCTGAAATACACATGGTCCCCAGTTTGCAAAGGACATTCATGTTCTACTGCCCTGTCCTCCAGGAAAACAATATTAAAAATGTATATTAAAAATATAGTTCTAGAACTGTCTTAACAGAAAGGCTGATGTAGCAGTAACATTCTAGACATAACATCAGAGAAGCACAAACTCCCTCCATTTCAGCCCTGAAGATGAAGGTAACATAAATTACCCACCAACATTATGATAAATCTTTATATAACGTGATAATAATACAAATATAATCTCTACTTGGCTGACTTCTATTATGAAGGAAGAATGTCCTTAAAATGAAAGTGGACCAAGTGTGTTTGGCTGACAGACGACTATATAAAAATTAAAATTTATACTTTGACCTTGGACGTTCAGTTTATACTCTTACCGAATGAACGCTATATGGCAAGCCTGTTGTATTAAGTCACGGCAAGAAAATTATTTTAAACAAACATGAATGACGTTCAACCTCAAGCAAAATTCAATAACTGAACAGTAATAAAACACAAATTATTACTTACTGGTCCAAGAAGAATGGTACATCCATAGGATGTTCGCCTTCGCATCTCAGCCTTGTAACAGATCCCTTCCAGGAATTAATAATACTATTCCTGATACCCACCACAACAAATGACTAATTTCATATACTATTAATACATTTATATTATGTATAATATTTTAAGTTAATAATAAAATGTCATGTATTTCAATATTAATAATTAAAATGACAGGAGGCAGCCGGTCCCACCTTGAGATGGTACAGAGTGACACCTGTACTCAGTACATCGTCATCAATTCCAACAAGATGAGGCATATCTGAATCCAGCACAACCCCAAGGCCAGATTTACGGAGACCAAGAGCCTTTTGTTCTTGTAAGATTTTCTGAGTTTCCCTCCACTTCTCAGTCCATTCTTCTGTTAGTACTTTCTCTTGCGCTTCCTTCTGGTGTAACTGAGCTAATACTTGAGGCTGCGCTTCAACCGTCTAAAATACAACAGAAACTCAAAATGATTACTCAATTTTTCACTTGTAATAACCTATACTGAACACAGACGAAGGATTTACGTAATTTACGTCATGGAACACAGATGTGCGCATGCATGCATGTGTTTGTACGTCCACAGGCATGTACAAACGCGACTGATGTCAGAAGGCCAACATTAATTATATTTACGTTTAAAAACATGAAAGGTTTGTCTCTGCAATCGATGTGTTTCGTAAATGCCGTTGTAATTTTCCAGGAACCATGGAATGATGTCCTAAAATTTGGTAATATAATATTCAAAAAGCACAAGGCACAATAAAATCATCAACACACATAAATCAAATTGGACATTGCTATCATCTTATTTATGGTTCCTTTATCATTTGTGTTCGATTCATGTAGCAATATCTGATTCCTTCTTCTTATCGTGTAACTCTCTCTTATTTATGGTTCCTTTATCATTTGTCTTCGATTCATGTAGCAATATCCGATTCCTTCTTCTTATCGTGTAACTCTTCAAGCTTTGTTTCCCACTTCCTTGAGCCCACCATCCATTATAAGAGAACAAGAAAATAAAAATTTAAATGTTCATAGATACTCTGATTTCATGCCACTAAGATTGATAAACAGTCATTACCAATCAGCTAGTAGTCGACACTTTATATAAACTAAGCCTGTATTAATAAACTGTATTGGAAGCAACGTCATTCAGCAGTAATTTCAATTTCTGTCACCAAAGTACTAGCCCATACATCTTAAAACACACACTGTCGGAAAAGGGCAATTTTAAACAGGTCGCTAACTAACACTCGCTGCAAGTTATGTTACACCGTGACAGGTACGCAAAAAATGTTGATATATGCATATTAATTACTCACATATTCATTGGCCCCTAGAAGAGCTCTAAGTTTTGTTATTTCATCCCTCAGATCTCGAATAAGTTTCACATTAGGATCTTCATTAATAGTTGGTTTATTGATTATGTTCTTTGCTCTGTTTGCATAACGAAGCGTACTTAAGGTTTCTCCATAGTTACAATCAGCTGGTGAAATTGCTGCACAGATACATAAAATACCAGATGAACCAATATTAATGGATGCGTATTATCTTAAAGAATTATTAATTCACAAATTTTAATGTGAATGTAAGTAACCACTGTGACTAAGCATCATGACATGGAGTGTGGGGAAGCGGTGGTTAAGCTCTTTGCATTCTTAACCTCAGCACCAGACAGATACAAGAGAACGATCAACTTTACAAACACCAGTTGCCTTACCAATTATTTTTCATTGTGCTGGAAATAATGTGTAAATCACAGAATGAAGCACTAATATTGACGATACAGAGCCATTTCTTTCACGATTGCCAAACAAAGCAATACGAAAAGAGGCCTGATATAAAGCAGGAAAGAAAAAACTTCAGTTCAAAACCGCTAATTCTTTTCACATTCACTGATATATTTTACCTTAAATCACGGTCCTTGAAACAAAAGCTATAAAAATTCAAATGCATTCAATACAATTACCCAACTGCAAAACTCCACTCGCAATATATCAGAAAGGGGCAACTAGTTTGGCCGTGATCATAAAATGAACACAAGTAAATATGAGTACAGTGTTTGTTTTGACTCTCGGACCTATCGAAGACCTAATTTTTCGAACCACTCTAAAGAATCACTTAACTCAAATTCTACTTACAGTCAAAAACCCTAACCAAATTAAATTTTGTATTTTCATATTTAAACTGTTTCCTATGCAGCATGTTTGAAATATCCACAATTTTTGTGTACTTACACTTCATTAAGCCGTCCAATATTCCAGTGTACCTCGTCTGGTGTCCTTACCACCACCAGCTATCATCATTATTCCAGTGCCAGCTTCTTTGTCAATTATATTAAAAATAATAAAAATATTTCCGTTCTCTCTAGTCCTCATAAACGACTTCCTTTGACCCAACAGTTGACCTTTTATGAGGAACTATCATAGATCAGTCTGGACCTTCGAAATTAAACGGATGTGGCTTCATGTGTAGTCGTAGGAACATTACGAGCCCAGTACACTGGAATATATGGATCCACTACCAATTCCAGGCTTAAACAGTCCTCAGTGTAGTCCACAATGGTAAAGTATTAAAACATTAATCTCACAGGAATGTGATAACAACACTGGAGAAGGAAAAGTTACAAAAAAAAAATCAATACCTGCTATCATTATGGTCTTAGAATTACCACCAAGACTATCTCTGAGTAACCAGGTGAGTACTGAATCCCTGTACGGGATGAAAGAGCGCGACGTTCTACGCTGGCCAGTGCCATCTTCCTTTTGGGAACCTGACAACTCCGCCAGAGCTGATATTACAGATCCTAATGTTACTAGAGACTTGTTGATATGAGCACCTTCCTTTAACCTCTGTCCCGTCGCACCACTTGCATCTGCGCGCTCGCTGAAATTGAAGTGAAAGCAACACGACAAAAGTAATGGCAGACATAAAATAAATGTTCAGAGAAACATTTTCCTTCATCAGAATGAAGGACAAAATCATAATACAAGTCCCTTTTATGTGGCAATTGCAAACTCGGGAATAATAATACGTCAAAGTGCCTCATGACTGCATTAAGAGTCTATTATTATTATTATTATTATTATTATTATTATTATTATTATTATTATTATTATTATTATTATTATTATTATTATTATTATTATTATTATTATTATTATTATTATTATTATTAAGTTATAAATTCGGGCACCGTCGGGAATCGAACCCTTGCTATCATTTCAATCATAATCTTTAAGGTAATTAGAGGGCGCTTATGAATTGTGAGTTGCAAAGGATAAAATATCCAGATACAGAGTACCATCTGTGTCATTTCTTTCCGACAGACAGTCAACACACACTGGGTGCGTGCATATGTTCGCATGCAAATAGCACACTCCAATGGCTGCATCTCAAAACTACAAACCTTCCTGCCAAGTCCACTAGATGAACCTTAGATTCTGTTTCACTGGGCATGTTGTTAGAGAAACCAGCCTGAACAAACATGACAGTGAAGATGGCATGACTGCGGCTGCTCACATCATTCATGTTTGTTGAAGCTGTGGTGCGGTGATTGTTCCCACGCATCATCAATTCCTACAACAAATAATATCAAGATATGGGAGTAAACTCAATCAGGTTTTATATTATTTTCCTAAAACCTGAGGACACGGTTGTTCTACTGATGTACCACACATACAACAAACAACAGTGTTCTTTCATAATAATTTGTATTAATAATATCAGAATACTACACTGTCCCGCGCCGTAGCCGCGTGGTCTGAGGCATCATGCTTCGGACCGGCGATACGGAATGTGCGCTGGTTCGAGTCTCGGGGGGAGAGGAAATTTTCTCATGAGATTTTCGACCAGTGTATGGGACCGGTGCCAACCCAGCATCGTGAGGAAATTGGGGAGCTACAATGAGTAGCGTAATCCGGTCATGAAAACTAGCAATGGCTGGGGGTTCGTCGTGCTGACCACACATCACCCTATATCTGGTTGGATGATCGTTCACCTCTGCTTAGGCATGTGAACGTGAGGCCAGCAGTCAAGTTAGTCGGCTTTGGCTCTCTGGAGCTGTTACGCCACGAATTTAATTTAATTTTAGAATACTACACTGGTAATTACACTCTGTTAACTTCTGAAAGATGTAAGAGTAACAAAAGTTTAATGTAACAGTGTTCCAGAAATACCTGTCACAATTCAGACCTCAGAAACCAGCTCAACATGCATGCATGCATGCAAATGAATGCTGCCAACCTTGAATGGCAATGTAAATTTTTTAAAAAACTTTACAACATAACTTATCAAAGTTGACATTTGAAATGAGGGATCTCTACACACAACATTCTTTAAATACAAAGTAGAACTGTATAATTCTACTTATTATTCAAGACTGCATCTTGGCATAACCTTATCAGTCTTTCTTGCCCAAAAGTCTTTGTTAGTGTATACTAACACCTGGAGGAATATGCTGCCTCCAATATCAGGGTTAAAGAGAGCAGAGTTAGGGATTTTTATAAGAATGATGGAAACTGAACTCTGCTTGCCGAGCCCTTAAGCAGTTCCTTTACTGAGCTACACCAGCTTGCAAAATATGCTAACAGCCACTCTAAATAAAATATTAATTTAAATAAACATGAACTCATGCAGACACTCGCAGGCTAGACATGTTGGATTCTCTTTTATTCTTTCATAATTGTATTAAGACAATATTCAAAACAATTACTGATGATTAAACTCACTTGGATGTCAGAGTAATCAGTGACAAGATGTCTTGACAATCCCTGCACATACGGGCCATGACGGGGATGTTCCCTCACGCGTAAGCTGTGGTTTGTTGCCCTTGGCTGTAAAAGGTCTTTGACACGTTCATTATAAATTTCAAGGTAAGAAACTTCAGTACGATAGCTGGCTCCTTTCTCCTTACCTTCAGCCATGCGACTGAAAAGCATCTTGCAGATGCGTGGAATTAAACCTTTTTTTCAACAGATACAAAATAAACATTTTTCCCAAAACACAAGTATCTTCCAACAATTTAAAGAACATTCTGCAATATTAATTGTTTCAAAACAGGGACAAACCCCTTATAAAATAGCGGTAATTATATGTACCACCTCTTTTAACATCTAATAATTCTAAATTCTGCCCACAGAGTGTATTCATGGGTTTAATATGATTCTCAGCACAATCAATGATCATACAACCAAAAATTGTTGGATTTCATCACAAAACTTGTTAATGCTTCAAAACAAAACATTTTCACAAATTTACTCTATCTGCAGGCGGACCATCTGAATTTAAAACTCTGACTGAATAAAACTTCTTAAACATATATGACTTTATATTTTAAATAGAATTTATTTCTATAGCAGAATATCAATTGGATAAGTGTCTTACTGACAAACCAATTGCTACAGGCCTGAAATGAATTATAAGGGTGTTTCACAAAAATTAAGAAACACTTAACATACTCAGATAAACAGAATGTCCCAAACATTAGATATTTTCACTGAAAAAACATCCAATAACATTTGTCACACCAAATTTAAGGGGCCTGCCGCTAGAAAATAAATTCCTGATTTTTAATTTAAATGCACTTCAGTTTGATAAATAACGAATCAATTTTTCAGCACCATCAAAGTTGCAAAAAACATACTTAAAAATTAAATGCATGGTACACTATAAACCACTTTAATCAGAAAACGCTCATATCCTATGGGGTGGGTATAAATCTACATAATACAAATACACAGCAATACATTACATAAATATATTCTCATGTCTGGAATCTGTGATATCAACGGTTGGTATAGTCAGTAAGAAATTGATGAATAAGCCAAAAAAGGCCACAGCTTGGAGAGCTGACATTATGAGATGCCTCAAAATAATAAAAAAACTTATTAATTATATTATTTTAAAGCTCTCAGTTGTTTGTGTTAGTGCAAAAGAGAATAATATAAAAAAATAATAAATTACCGCAAACAGTCTTTCATCAATTTTCAATTATTATACGATTTGAAGCTTTCGCAGTGACATAACTCAATAAAAATCTTCTCGGGCAATCAGCCACGTCAAATGGTTACTTGACGCAGCTGATTGCCCGAGAAGATTTTATAGAGTTCAATTATTAGTTTTCACTGCATCTTCGTCATGGATCATACGTACACAAGTTTAAAATTTCATTATTATTTACATTATCCTTATGAATCTTAAAACTTTGCATACCGCGTAGTGTATTGGAATATAAAAATAAGCATAAAACAAACTGTTTACGCTATAAACGACACTAGTGCCAAACGCGTTTCGACCTCAAGAAGTCATCGTCAGTGGCAAAAAGGGGAATTAATTCATATATTATGATCAAAAAAATATGGTATTAAGGTGAGTTCTTTACAAAACTGTTGGTTTCACAGGAGTTGGTGTATTGTATTCTGCAGAAAGTCCCTGTGCACCGAAAATAACACAAATACACCCATATTTTCAGGGTAAACGTATGGTTACAAAACAGCAGAACTAATTGGAGGTAGTGATAAAAATCATGGTCACATGACACATAGAAGTCCTGTGCACCACCTAAGGAATCTGTGAATCACTTTCCACTTCCAATACCTGTTGTGCGTGGGTATTTCTGAATCACTTGGAACTTAGACTAATTAAAATGTATTTAAGGGAAACCTATAGTAAAGCCCATAATAGTAAAAATGTATCTAAAATATAAAACTTTTAATTTACCTCTTGTTTTGTATTAGTGTAAAACTCGGTCTCTCACATTAAGGAAGGAACGTGTTTGAGAACATTAAGGAAAAAACTAAGAATGAAAGTAAGAACAGGGTGCTCAGGTGAACACTTGAACCTGAGAGGAAGTAACAGAGGTGTGGAAAAAAAGGTACATAATGAGTAGCATCGTAATCTACGCTCTTCACCAAATATTATTAGGATGATCACTTCACAGAGGAAGAGATGGGTGGGCCTTGTAAGTACACAAGGAAGAGGTGATAAATGCTTACAAAATTTTAGGTGAAAATCCTGAAAAGAAGATACCACTCCAGAGACCTAGGCATAAAGAAGGGCAATAACCTTCTGCCTACCCACGACAGGAGGGAGAATGGTGTGTATATGTCAACCTGACGCACATACACAAAAAATAATACCATTATTCAGTAACCATTTCTCTGCCACATATTGGCAAGGAGATTTTACAGACCACTGTATTACATTTGCTATTATTTTTTTTATTTAGTGTTCTGTCTGACGACAGGTCCATATGAACAGGATCCTTCCATCCTTTTCTCGGACTGGGACCTGTTCATATACGTTCTTGGCAGATGATCCAGAAGTGATTTGCCATTGCCTTCTTCGACAGGTCCGTATGAACAGGATCCTTCCATCCTTTTTCTCGGACTGGGACCTGTTCATATACGTTCTTGGCAGATGATCCAGAAGTGGTTTGCCATTGCCTTCTTCTGTGTGTGTGAATGGAGTAATTGTTGGGATGCCACGGAGGAAAACTCCGTGTTGCCTAGACCACGGCCTTGCCCAACACAAGTTATAAATTCGGGCACCACCGGGAATTGAACCCGGGTCCCCAGGATTACAAGGCTAGTGTTCTGACCGCTAGACCACCGTGGCGGCTACATTTGCTACACTTTTTATAAATTTATTAATCACCCGTCAATAAATTTTAAGCATTCTGTTATCAGTTGATGAGAATTTAAGTGGGTACTGTCAAGTCACATGTAAGTTCCTATACCAATTACATGATGTGGCTGGAGACAAATTCTCTACCCCTCTGTTTACATAATAATCATAAGCATCAAGGTCTCTGAATATCAGTTCAGTTTCCAACTCATTTTAAGGTGTTAGGCTACCTGTTCACGAGCACAGACAGTCAGCCTACTAGAGACAGAATGGATATATATCATTTCTGATTTACAAAGCTACAAATAAAAAAGAATTAAACCAGTGGCATGAAGTTACTGCATTTCCCTTCCTCACTCTACGCCCCACTCTCTCTTACGCCAAATACTCAGTACAACCTCTCTGTAATTCCAACTATTTTTTCAAATCACAAGAAGTATGATAAATATGACAGCAGTTCTTGTATTGTAACAAAATAAATGAAGATACATATGCAATAAAATTATTTTGATACACGTACCAAAGACAAAGTGACTCAACAGGATGCCAGACATGGTCATATGGAATTACAGGAAGTTTCACAATCAGTTCACCAACAGAGAAAAGGATCAACTGACAATACAAGTTACTTACAGGGGTGCCCATCATTGTGAAAGTCTTGCCACTTCCCGTCTGTCCATACGCAAACACGCACGCATTATATCCCTCAAAAGCACTTTCAATCACATCAGTTCCCAAGTCTCTGTAAACCTGAAACATCAAACTATTCAAGTATAATAAACCAAAATGAAGTCAAAAATGTGACTAAAATTCCACTGGCCACTGAAACATATCCAAAGTTTACCCGAGACTAAATTCCATAATACCCAATTTAACGCCAGGCTTTAAACTTTGCCTTGGTCTTCTAAGCGAATTCTTACATTGACTTAATAATTGCTTAATAATTTAATGAGTGACCATACAAAGCGAAAAGTATAAGAAAATTGTCATTATGTTAATTTCTTGTTTAAATGTAAATAACCTTCTTTATACGACACTACAGAAGTGAACTCATATCTTAGCAACTTCAAAAAATTCACTCATCGTTGGCATATTTAAAAGAGACAGCCCACATAGACACTTAACGTATAAAACTCATTAACTCATGATGTATGAAACATACCGGCTTATAATTGCCACACCCCATTTACAACATCGACAGTAACTATTTATGTTTGCACCATATCTAAAGCCCCAAAGATGCAGTTCCAACTTCTTGTTGTTCCATTATTTCATGTGTAATTAAAAAAAAAATTGCACGCAAGGAATTTGTAGTTTACGGTCGTTTCGTTGCGTATATAACACTTTCATGTCAAACTGTTGAATGAACATACAAACCTCTTCTTGTGAAGCATAGTGAGAATCAACAGCATCAAATGACCAATAGGAATGATCAAAAGTGAAGTCTTTGTATCTCTCTCGCCCATGATCGCTTTCCTTTCCAGCTGGAAGCTGAATATTAACACACAAAAAAAAAAAAAAAAAAAAAATCAAGGAACATTTCAATTGAAAGTTTTACTTTATAGTATTTCATAAGATAGTGTAATTGCGTCATATTGTGAATATTCTAACAATTATTTATTTTAATCCGTCTTATCACAATATTTAAAAT